AGACATGAGAATACATTCACTTTGGTGTTTCTCAGTCCCAGCATCTGCTTGAGTATTCCACAATACAAGTTTGTTCAAAAAAATGAATAGATAAATGAGTGAATGAACCAACACACCAATTAACGAAGTCGTGATTCAGATTTTATACGTTAAGCCCACGAGAGCTAAGTAACATGCCTTCTTAACCACAGAGCAGGGAGTTTTATTCCAAGCCCACAGACACAAGTCTTAGGATGGACAAATGGGACTCTCCTCAAGTCAACAAGGAAAGCCTCAGCTCTAGGTTGGGGACATTTGCCAAATTATGCCCCTCCCTGCCCATCCCACACTGCATCAAGGGAACTGAAGGACATGCAATCACGCTGCTTTGGAACCACGGAGCCCAGGAGCCCATGAGGTTGGCAGGTGGCTGCCAGTGTGGGGAAATAGCATCTTTTGGTGCCAAAAGATGAGGGCCGAAGTCCTGGATCAAGTGCCTCCTAGTAAGGCACATACCCTCTCTGAACCTGTCTCTTTGTCTCTAAAATGAGGATAATAAGATCTCATTTGCGGGATTATGAGGATTAGATGAATAAAGCACATATATTAACTTTCTAAATCATGAGCTCTCTCAATGTACAGACCTAAGAATACCAGAGGTTGGAAGGTCAGAGGTACAGGCAATATGGAGTGGCCCCAGCTCCCCATTCCTTAGCAAAGGTCACTGATAGAAGGTCTTTCACAGAACCAGCTGACACCTCAGAACCCCCATCCCACGCCCTCTACCCGGGTCATACACTGAGAGCTGAGAAGTTGTGCAGCCTCAGCCTGAGGCACCGTATCATACGCCAGCACCTGTCATTACCCCTATACATGAGAGGAGAATGTGAGGTGACACCTGGAGCTGAGCTGGGAACTAGGAGCTGCCAGCAGCAACTGCTGCAGAGGCAGATGGCAAGAAGCCTGAGGAGGGGACTGTCCCAGGCAAAGTACCAGCCCTAGGTCAAAGGGCACAGTTCCAACTCCTGGATCTGAGATCAAGAAGCAGTTGATCTTGGGCTGAGCACTTAACCTGAGTACTGGGTGATTCACAGCAAAAGCCTGATCTGCCGTCTCCCTGGGTTTCACTGCTTCTGAGACCCCAAGAGTTGTAAGATGCCCCCCGATTTCCTTCTTAGTAAAGACAGAAAGGAAAATGCTGTCAATGAAACTATATAACATCATTATTGTAAGACACAGGCTGACGTTGAAGATGCTAGAGCTTGAGAAATGCACACCGAAGAAGCCCTGCAATGTGGTGCATGAAGGCACCGTGTGAACATAACACTAAATTTGAGTATCTATTCCTGTAGTATCAAACTGCAACCCTCAGCACCAATCTCGAGAGTGCCAAGCCCTTTCCCTGGAGTACATCTGCATGGGAATTAAGGAGAGAGAAAAATCAGGGATGAAGAACAGGGATGAAGTCCTATTGGTTCAGATGGACAGTGGTGGCCTTTCAGCAAAGTCTGAAGAGCCACAAAGAGTGGGAGGCTGGAGGGCTGAGTAGGGGGAGAACAAAGAGGATAAGTGACTTGGCCTAAGGGTCACCACTTTTGCCCACTCATGTGCACCCACATACATGTAGGCGAGGACACGGAGGACCTTCCTGGCTGGGATAACAGCCCCTGGTGACTCCTCCAAATCTGCTCCTCAAGCCATGTGGCAACCCTTATGAGAAGATAGTGCTTCCAGCTTCCAGCAGTCTTGTCTCATCGTGTCAAAGGGTCCAGTTCCACCACCTTACCTCATATATCCTAGCTCCCAGACCCCACACCAGAATGGCAGAGTCACCTGTATTAGTACTTCTACCCACCATAATGCCTCTTAAAATGTGATATCCTAAAGATGTACATCAGAACACTTTTAGTAATTAATCAGAGAAGCCCAAACCAGAAGGCAATCTTGGTATCAAATAATCGTAAAAATGGAAAAGTACACATCTTCTGTGTATATCCATTTAATAAGCTGCTGGTCAAGCATTATAGACTGTTACCAAAATATGGAGTAATATGTACTATGCCCATATATTGAGAAAAGGCAGCAAAATGTTAAGCATTGAAAAGAAAGCTTCCTTAGCATTAAAAGGGCTGGAAGGAAATACCACCAATAGTTACGAGTTCTTCTCGATCAGTAAATTGTTTTTTCTCTTTTGACTTTCCCACATTTTCTATAATGTACACATAATAGTTTAAAATAAAAATAAATGGATGAGGGGTGCCTGGATGGTTCAGTTGGTTAAGTGTCCAATTCTTGATTTCAGCTCAGGTCATGATCTCAGCGTTGTGAGATCAAGCCCCACATCAGGCTCTGTGCTGGGCATAGAGCCTGCTTAAGAGTCTCTCTCCCTGCCCCTCACCTTCCCCCTCCCTCCCACTCTCTAAGCAAACAAACAAACAGATGAGAAATTTCAAATGGCCTCTGACACACAGAACTCAGCAGGACCAACAATTCACAGAATCCTTTTTTTTAAAGATTTTATTTATTTATTCATGAGAGACACAGAGAGAAGGCAGAGACATAGGCAGAGGGAGAAGCAGGCTCCTCACATCAGAGCCCGATGTGGGACTCGATCCCGGAACTCCGGGATCACACCCTGGACCAAAGGCAGACACTCAACCACTGAGCCACCCAGGCATCCCCACAGAATCTTAACATATAATATACATATAGTACTTTTGTCCTAGAAAGAATCACAATATTTCTAAATGGCTCAGAGTCTCATTTAGGCCTTTCACTCTATAGTAGACTTTACTTACTTTTACTTTAGGGACACCTAAAACATCACCAAGCTATTATCAAAAAAGTCAGAAGATAATAAGAGAAGAGGGAACCCCCATGCACTGTTGGCGGGAATGTAAATTGGCACCGTCACCATGGAAAACAGCATAGAGGTTCCTCAAAAAATTTACCATAAATCCAGCATTTCCACTTCTGAGTATATATCCAAAGGCAATAAAATCACTGTCTTGAAGAGAGACTTACACCTCCACGTTCACTGTGGCTTCATTCACAATAGTCAAGATATGAAAACAACCTAAATGTCCATTGGTGGATGAATGGAGAAAGAAATACACACACACACACACACACACACACACACACACACACGGGTATATTATTTAGCCTTAAAAAAAAGAAGGAAATCCTGCCATTTGCAATAAAACAGATAAACTTGAAGGGCATTATGCTAAGTGAAATAACCCAAGAACTGAAAAGAAAGAGACTGTGTGATCTCATTTATACATAGAGTCTTTAAAAAAATATTGAACTCATAGTAACAGAGAAATGAATGGGACTTACTAGGTATGGGGGTGAGGGATAAGCTGGTCAAAGAGTACAAACGATCAGCTACAGATGACTAAGTCCTGGAGACCAGCATGGTGACTATAGTTAATAATAGTGTACCGTACACTTGAAATTTGCTGACAGTAGAGCTCAAGTGTTCTCACCACACACACAAAACAGGTAACTATGTGAGATGATGGATATATTAATTAGCTTGATTGTGGTAATCATTTTGCAATGTATACCTAAACATCGCATTGCACACCTTAAATAGATACAATTTGTATCTGTCAATCATACCTCAATAAAGCTGAAAAAATAAAACATGAAAAAACACTGCCCAGGTGTGCGGCATTGTCTACAACCATGCACTTCTGAAATACTATGTACAAATTATCTCTATAGACTAAATCATATTTAAAATTCAGTAGAATTGTCTTTTACAAGAATAACGTTCAGAAAATCCTTTTATAAGGCAACAGATGTTTTTAAACATCGTCTTCTCTATTTACCGGTTCCCTATATTGAGGGGTTGGTTGCTTACAAGCTCCATCTGAACATTCCAGTCCTTTACACCTTCAACTTCTCTTTCACTTACTCACCACTGGTGTGAAGGTTAAAAGTATGAGTATTATGTGTATTCCACAAGATAATGAGTAGACGTGAATATCACTAAGCTCTTATTTTCCTCAGGCTTTATCTACCTCCACTCCTCTGTTTCCTGAAAGAAATATCCTCTTTGTCCTCCTCTCTTCTGGGCAATCATAATGGTGATTCCTCATTCCCCCTCCTCATTTTTCTACTATATTCTCATCTTTTCCACAAAGGTTTGAACTACTGTCTGGCAAGCAACTGGGTATGGGAATTTCCATGTCACACCCCTTCCTGCCATACCCACACAGGACAGGGGCGCTCCCGCAAGGCCTGGACCCCTACCCTCCCATGCAGGTACGAAACTCATCTAACAGAAACAACAATAAAAAACCACAAGAACCCAAAGAGGCATGCCCATTATCACAAGCCTGAAGGACCATCACATATGCGGCTAACAGCACTGGATAGGCCCCAAAGAGGCAGACTATATTCATTTTCCAAAAAAAAAAGATTTATCAAATATTTAAATAAATCTACTGCCAATAAATATATGCTGCCTATGACACTGCATCAGCAACCATTTAGTATTACTTATCAAACATTTGAATGTGACTCAGTTTTATTACCTCTTCATGTTAATAAATCCGCAAATCAATAAAAAAAATTCTGTTGTCAGGACACGAGCCTCAATGATCAGTTACGAAAATATCTTTGGGAGTCTTTCCAACATTCAAAGAAACACTGCACCTTATGGCATTTGGGACCATCTGTGGTGGGTGCCCCTCAGGCTAGGGAAAGCTGATGGCTTTAGTGAAAAGACTCACTGGGATGTGTGTGTCCAGCACTAGCCAAACATGAAATGGACAACCAGAAGACTGCGAACCACACACCTTGGTTCTGTAACCTCTACAGAAGGCCGCATGCATCTCCACACACCCATATCCCCCTGCAGGGAGGTCACCTACAGTCTGGCTCCATGAGAAATCTTGTCCTCAGTCCCTCAGCCTTCCCACTCCTGGGTTCCTTGCACCAGTCACTTTGTGACAACACAGGCATGTCCCCTCACACAAAAAAAGGAGAGACACAGGAAGAAGACTCACCCACTGAGGACCACGATGAAGTCCATGACATTCCAGCCATTGCGGAGGTACGAGCCCTTATGAAAGATGAACCCCAGGGCCACAATTTTGATACCGGCTTCAAAGCAAAAGATCCCAATGAAATACGGCTCTGTCTTCTCCTGCAGGATGAGGAGCAGAGGTGCCGGTAAGGGAGGGAATATGCTGCATCGGATGCAGACAGACACACCCCGGCCACCCTCTCCACTCTGATCATTCCTCTCTCCTACATGACACCTGGACATCTGTATGGGGCCAGCCGCAGGCACAGGTGGAAAGTGAGTACACTCACTGAACGACTCAGGGAGCCTCAGGGGAGCCAGCCACAGAGATGGATGGGTGTGGGGGGATCACACCCAAGCCAGACTTCTTCCCAGGCTGGATGACTGATATTTCTGGCTTGCCTTGGAGGAGGTGGCTTTTCCATCACTGGCCTTCACTTACCCTGGAAGCTTAAGGGTTCTCACCTGCAGGTAATCAGGCTGGAACTGCTAATCCACACATTTGGATTTTAAGCAATTAGTTTGCCCTCTCTAGGGGGAACACACTGCACATGTGATTCCTTGCTTTAAGGAGAATATGGGCATAACATCTACGAAGTTCATCACCATGAATGCACATAAGCTTTGAGCATCCTTATCTCTTACTTCCAAAGTTCCTTAGGAAGGGAAGCGAAGTGGATGGCCCCTGTGCCTCCCCTCTCTTCTTGTGTGGCTACCAAGTAATGTATACACAAGTATTTGTGATGCCCTCAGAACTTCCAGGGAGCAGGAGTTAAAAAGGTCTTATCCTTATGAATCCCAATGAGGGTTGTCACCTGTCTATCCCTCAGCAAAGAAAAACTCCTCACAGAAACGTAGGGGAGGGTGAAGGGAAGGGGGCCAGGCGATAAAGCAAAGGAGAAGGGAACCAGGGAAGAGAAAGGACCAGGGTAAAGATGAGATGGAAGGAGGCACATACCAGTCTGCGGGACATCGGGGTCTTGTCATCCTCAGGAAGATGCTGTTCCAGGGCCAAGACAATGCAGTTGGCAATGATGGTGGCCAAAATCATGTACTCAAACGGCGTAGGAAATATGAAGTTAAGGAACAGATTCACCAAAGAGAGGAATGCAGCCTCCAAGATGGCCATGCACATAAATCCGCAAACTTCATCAAAACCCATACGATGTCTGTGCAGGATGCATGATCTCTGTCGGCAAGCAGGCAGGCCGGGCAGTGGAGGGTCCTCAGCATGAGAAACTATAACCATTTCTGATGGGGCTCTCAACACAAAGCACCTTCTCCAAGAAAAGGAGGAATGTAGCCAACTAATGGTATAGTTAGAGATCTGGCTGGCACTCCACATACTTAGGGAATTCAATGGCATAGCCAGGAGTAAGCAGGGCTGAAAACAAACGGAAAGAAGGAAGGGACACTGATGCAGCGGCAGGCAGGCTCCCGTTCTTCCCCGGCTTCGACTGCGGTGCTGGACGAGGACGCTTCAGCCAGAATCCAGCCGTGGCTGGCTGCTGCTGCCTCTGGGAGTCACGGCCGGGGTCTCCTCCCCTAGAACCCCTGTTCAACTGAGTAGAAGAACCCTTGGAAAAAGAAGAATTCTCTCCATGTGAGCTCTCTTCTATGTCAATATCCAATTCAGAAAAATATTTCATGGGATCAGGAGAAGCCTGTCTTGCCCCCCTCATTTTCTCCTAAGCTTCTTCACAGAGAGCAGAGAGACACATCAGGAGACTAAGTCCAGGACAGAAAACTCAGAGCGTCTAAGAACCAAACTACAAATGAACGGATAATGAATCCAGGCTTTTCTCCCATTGCATTTTTCTGCAGACAGATGAGGGGGCTCCCTGAGCCTTTCTGAACAACAGGACTGTGATTCAAGTGCCTGCATCCTGACCCCTGGAGGAAGGGGGTGCCACGAGCCCGGGGTGGGGGAGCAGGAGTGGGGAACTGTTAATAGAAGAGAGGGAATCACTGGTTTCCAGAGTCAAGTCATTCTGCATGGTGGCTTTCATTCCGTAGCTACTGCTGTGACAAACACAAGTGAGCTGATGCCACTGGTCTTGCCAAGCAACCTATGCTCTGGCAGCTTCTGGAAGCCAGGCAGGAGAAAAGAGTAGATCTGGCCAAGTGGAGGGAAGGCAAGGGACCATCCTCCCTGTCTCCCTGATATATCCAGGCCTGCTGTGTAGCCTGTAGGGCCTAGAGTTTTCCCCAGGGAGTACAAATCCTAATCAGGCCCCTGACGCCTCCCCGTCCCCATCATGGTATTGGCATCAGTGGGAAGTGGGCATTCAATGCATCTCTGCGGAAGGGCAGGGCACAGGGCACCTACATGCAGAGGCGGCATGTAGGAGATGTGAGCTGCCCCTCTGTTGCTCGGGCCCTGGTGCTAGGATGAGAGGCTGCAGCGGGTGAGGCGGGAGAGGCGGGAGCTGCACCGGAGCCTCCAGAGCATTTCATTCTCACTCCTCGGTGCCTGGTGCCGTCTCCTCCCCCTCACCATGCACCCACTCTCCTGCATGCTGCCCATCCTTCCTTCCCACACAGCCCCAGTGTTCACCCAGGACACACGCCCTAGGGACAGCTCTGCTGGCTTCTGCTGCTCTGTAAACGGGATGGGCTCAGAGGACTTCAGAGCCGACCCCCTGCCTCCACACCCCACTGTGCTTGTTTAAACCATCCCAGTCAGAGGAGACTCTAAACACATGGATAGTCCCTCAGCATGCCCAGCCGTCCTCCTCCTGCAGTCTCTCTAGGTACCAAACTAGGCCCCTGAGAACTAAACGTGCCAGCAGACACGCTCCACAGAGGCCCCTCTAGCATGCATGCCCACTTTCTTGGGACAAGCCCCCACCCACGACCCACCCAGGGCCACCAGCACCCACTGATCACAGAGGGTGGTTCTCCTCCTTCTCATCATTAGCTCTGGCCAAGTGTAGAGTGACCAAGGACCACACCAGGACCTGGTGTCCCATAGCCCTCAGATACCCAGAATCCCCCAGACCCAAATGGGAGCATGGAAGAAGTGGTGGCCGAGGCATCCAGGCCTTTCCTGAGAACATGCCGACCAGCCACTGACAAATATCAACAGAAGTAGAGGGCATTTAGGCCACTGTTCCTAAAATGCAGGCCATGGGATGCTAGTACTATAGGAATTTGCAATCAAATAAATGGGGGAGAGCTGGAATTCAGGAAAGTGAGCAGGTTTCTCCCAGCAGGACTTCCTGCAGCCTTTAGTACTACTGTAAACAGTGCACACGGCCTCCCACCAAAGGGTGTGGGAGTGATACACAGCATTCCCTAACTCACTTCACCGTATCATCCTCTTATCAGAACACCTCTCCTGGGCAAGGTATCAGAGGAACGTTATTGGGGAAGCTCTGATACAAAGGCCAGATGTCACTGCTGGCCCCAAGGTGTGGAAGGAGGACTGGTGCTCTGGCAGGAGGGAATCTAGTGCCTGAGCCACCTCTTGCCTCATCCTTACTCCTGGCAAAACTATTCACAGAGTGTGGGGCTCAGCTGCCCTTCGCCAAGGCTGAAGGCACCTGCCCCAAGTGAGTTCAGAGGAGCTGCTCAGTGGGTCTGACGAACCTAGCAGTGGCCTGGGAACCAGCATGAATGCTCTTGTACAAGTGGCAAACGTCATGAGCTCTCATTGGTCTGCTCAGGTTCTAGGGTTGCTTTCTGGGGTTCAGGTTTCTTCCCCTGAAAACCTTCAAGTGATAACCACCGACTTCAAAGTTAACAGCTCATAGCTGCTGACTTGCAGGCATGACAGGTCATGGTAGCTATATGCCCCCCAGGCCTTTCTCCCTCACATGCCTGCTTGAACAGTTGCAGCCCCTCTGAGGCATCCACTCCTTGCTCGCACTCCCACACCCGCATCTCCCTAGCCAGATCACTGAAGCATCCAACTCCCTACAAGGACCGGTCAGCTCACCTACTCAAGAATGTCCAGGTGCAGATACATGAGGCTCCTCTGTGACTACAGGGCTACCTTCAGGAAGGTGTGGCCAGCACCACTGCTGGGGGGCTCAGGGCAGGTGAAAGACTCCTGGCCCCAGGTGCTAATGAACCCAACTTCCTGTGACTGGCCAGACATCCGCATGGCTGAGAATTCATGAGGTCTCAATGAACGGCACTGTCTAAAGCCCTGGAGGCCATGACTGAAAAGTGAGGGTTTGGTAACTCAGAGGTTCTGAGAAGACCCCACTGCCATGTCTTTCCCAACCCGAATCCTCTGCCTAAGGTCTGGTGTCTAAGGACCCATGCAGAGCAGCTGTCCCCAGGCTTGGAATTTGGAACCTGTTTAAATACACATATCCTTGGGAGGCATGTCCCTTTAGACCTTACAGCTCATCTCCACCTCAGGATGAATTCACGTTTGGGGCAATGAAGAATGTGAGGTGAGATTTCGCTGCAGAAAAAGAGGTGAGACTATGGGAATCCGATGTATCTGTGGACTAGACGACAAAAAGGACGGTGACTGGGAAATCTTGGGAAAGGGCATCCATTTCTGGCTGGAGCCCAACCACTCTCCCTTCCAGCCCTTTCGCTCCCCCCTCATCTCCTTCTCTTTCTGAAGAGAGCATGAAGAATGGGTGCCAACATCTTGGCACTTTTGCCTCCACCTGCTATGGGCTTTCTCACTCTTTTCTGGTCTTATGTCAAGAGCACACTAAAACATCACCTCTGTGAAGGTTTCTCCCTGTGTCCCAGAGCTCTTTACATTGTACAATTTTATTATTTCTCCTCATTTGTCTCCCCCAAGAAACTATAACTCAAAAGCAAGGATGTGTTCATGCTCATCTCTCCAATGGTGGTGCTTACCAGAGCCCCTGGTACACGGTAGGAGCTGACTCAATGTTCACTGCAGGTGTGAATGAATGGGAGGCATCCCCTAGAGCAGCAGCTCCACTGAGGAGCCATCACAAGGGCTGCCCCACAGTCACTCGCTCTGGCTCGGGCCTTGGGCTCCCGCCCCCAACCCCACCCTTGGGAGCTGACTCAAAGGTGCTACTCCCATTTCTTCTCATCTACCCTCATAACTTCAAGCCAAATAAACTTGGCTCTAAGGCTTGTGGCTCCACTATATCTCCCAAGGGAAGAGACTGGACTGCAAATAATGGCCCAGGGGCCAAGGGAATCCACCTCAGACTAGACAAAAGATGTGACCTGGAAAGGTCAAAGGAAGCTCCACATTGCCAAGGCCTCAAAGGACAAGGCCCTTTGAGAGATGGTAATGGAAGACTGTCCAGGACTCTGATTCCTTCTGCCCAGGAATTCAGTGGCTCCCGTTACATTCTGTGCTGGACACCAAACACATTTTGGAGACCTGTATCTCTCCTTGATGTCCAGACTGTAGTCGGAGATCTTGAATAAACAGAACTAGCAGGGCAGTGAGTGTGGGAGCCTAAGGGCAAGGGCTTTGACTGTCCTATTCACCTCTGGACCCCTTATGTCCATCACACAATAGGAACCCAATAATTATCTCCTAATTAATGAATCAATTGATTGATAAGTGAATTGCATAGAGAAACCAGAGTCAGAGGTATCCTCGCAAAGGTATCTCATATTTTCTCCACACTGTGCACCCACTTGAACTTTTTGTACTAGATTTTGTGTACGCACATTAGCTATTCAAAAATAGAAACCAGCATGCATAGAAGATCCCTTTAACGTAAAAAAGATTTTTGAGAAAGGAGCAAAGGAAAAAAAAATCTGTCATGCTAGAAGGATAATGCATTTTCTTGGGATAGTAGGGTTACTTTCACTTTCTTCTCTACTCCTTTATGCATTGGCTTGAATGTTGTAACAAGTATGTATTAATTTATAATTATAAAATCAATTAAAGCTATATGTTTTTGAAAAAACATAAACCAACACAATAAAACCATCCCATCCTGTGGGTCATGGAAAGCAGCACAAGGTTTCTGAGAGGACCTTATGCAGGAGAACAAAGGGACCAGACCCAAGGAGGAAATGGCCACGGAAATGCTTTGAAACCTGCCAAGACGCCTCCTCTCCCATATCTGTCTCACTATCTGCTCACTCGGGGCCTCAT